AAATGAAGAGCAGTTTTACACATTTAATACAATATTGTATTTATTTATATTATAAATACAAAACTGAATTTCCCTTCTGGGATAAATAAAGTATTTTTCATTTCATTCATTTCATTGTAAGCAAAATAAATGAAAAAATACAACGACTAAGCTTTGCAGCTGGCAGTTTTATATACAGGGGCACTTCTATCTGAAGCCGAACCAGCTCATGATTTCCATCCAAGTTTCCTTAATTTAGCAAAAAAAAACAAAAAAACAAACAAACTTGAGTGACATTATATGAAATATAAAGCTATTTAAAGAAGGACGTTTCAGGGCATTTTTCTAGAAGGAAAGAGAACTCTTTTCTGCAGTACGAGAAAGTTTTTATGTCAGAAGAAGAAAAAGACAAAAGAAAAAGAAAGGTTTTCTTTATTTTTTATTATTTGTTTTACAAAAAATGGAGAGAAAAATAATCCCAGAGGAATCAACATATACAACATTTTTCCAAGTGCCCACATGTTTTACCAATACTGGAAAAAAAAAAACTACACATACTATAGATACTCGAGTTCCATTTTAAACTTGGTCTCCTATCAGTTCTGTGTAAACACTGCCTGCAGTTCAACCCAGTTCTGCTAAAAAGTCCCTGAATTTTTTCCACATGACTGTTGGTTGCAGCCGAGTTGTTAGTAGTATCACGGTGAGATAAAGATGTGCAGAATTTTTATATTTGTCCAGAATATGGTGAGAGCAAATGCTTTATTTTTTGGAATTTTTTAAATGGGACATGACAGATTAAGCTATTTTGATAAAACATCATGATTTTACGCTGACAGAACGGCATGTCATAGTTGAGTAGTTGATGGACCATCATAAAGCTGAAAATTGGATGATTTTTTTTTAGTTTTTGTAGTTTCTGGCGGGGCTGCAAGGTGGCGCAGTTGGTAGCACTGTTGCCTCGCAGCAAGAAGGTTGCCGGTTCACGTCCAGGTGGGGGTACCGGAATCTTTCTGCGTGGAGTTTGCATGTTCTCCCCGTGCAGCGTGGGTTCTCTCCGGGTTCTCCGGCTTCCTCCCACACAGTCCAAAAA